GTCTGTCTGTCTGTCTGTCTGTCTGTCTGTCTGTCTGTCTGTCTGTCTGTCTGTCTGTAGGTAGGTAGGTAGGTAGGTAGGTAGGTAGGTAGGTAGGTAGGTATGTACGTATGTACGTATGTACGTATGTACGTATGTACGTATGTACGTATGTATGCATGCATGTATGTATGTATGCATGTATGTATGCATGTATTTGTACATTTTTTGCACGTGGCTCGGCTGCCGCGAACCGCGTCCGACAGGAACTCTGGACCTAGTTGCATGCCTCCTAAAACCGGTCGCCATATTCTCTGTAGGGGTGTGGCCGGGACATGTGCTAGCAGCACACGGCCAGGGTGCCTGGCCGGAATGATTGAACGGTCACCTTTGGAACATCCTCTCCCCCTCGGGGTGGAGGAAAGGGAGGGGGTGGTGGAGGAGGGGAAAGGGGGAGGAGGAGGAGGAGAGAGGGGGAGAGAGGGGGAGGAAAGGGACAAGGGGGGGACGGAAGAGGAAGGAGGGGGAGGTGGACGGGGGGAAGGGCGGACTCCGAACGGCGGCGCGGGAGGGGGTTTGAGCCAACCAGGCAGTCTAGCAACATGTAAATGGACAGAGACCTCGTCACCCTGCGTAGACCCAGTTGTCGCCGAGGCGGATCCCCACCCCATGCGTCCCTGCTGGAGGGTCTGGAGGTGGTGGGAAGCGTTCGCGATAGGCCTCGGGGTGCAGTTTTTTCGTTCTTTGCCACGCTATGACTCGTAAGAGTAGCCTGTGGTGGGTCAGCGTGAGGTCGAGCGAAATGCCTGCGAGCCATGGCCGGGGCGGCACGACTAAAGTCCGCCACAGGGAATTGACGGTCTGTTTGTACCATTCTCCAGCTTTTCGTGGTCTCCCGACGCGCTTGGGACCATAATCCCATGGCTGCAGCGTGCGTGGGTCGAACGTGCAGGAGGCGACTGGGTCAGTCGCGGGCGCAGATATCAGACGGCAGAGCAGATCGAGCTAGAGTTTTTCGCATGTGTCGCTGAAGCGCTCGAGGGGTTGGCGCGGTCTCCTGCCGTTAAGGGCATTGTGTGCGTGGTTGAAAATAAACTCGTTCGTGTTTGTGCGGTCCTGTCCTCGAGCCATTTGACCGTACGTGGTAGAGAGCCCAAGGATTTTGCGGAGTTCTTTCAACTGGAAAAGCGTCGAGCCGCTGTGACTGCCCAGGGGTGAGCTGGGTGGTCTCCAAGCCGTACAGCAATTTGGACCTGCATAACGCGTAAAAAGTTTGATTTTTGTTGTGACACGGTGCAGTCGCTGTGCAGCCAGAACGGTCGCTGTGAGCCAGAACGCATCCAATCGCTGCATTGTCTGGTAGCAATTGCAGATGCGGGCGCTGATTTCTTTCCCGACATCATTTTTGCTGTCTAGTGAGCAACCCAGATACTTCACCGTCTCTGCGCAGGGAACAAGACTGCCATCTCGGTATTTTAGCCGGCTTGGGCGTCCGATGACCATCAATACACATTGAGTGTTGTTTAGGTTAAGACCGAATCGCGCGTTTTTTTATCGATTGTGTGCAACATGCGCGTGGCCTGGGCTTTGTCGGAAGAAATGCGCATCGTGTCGTCTGCGAATAGCACGACATCAAATGTGATTCCGGGCGGACGCCCTTCGAAAACGACGCGCCGCGTATGTACTTGTATGTGCAGTTATGTATATATAGATGTACATACACATACGTGGTTATATATGTATATGTACATGTATATGATTCTGTATCTGCAACTGTTTATGTCCACATATATTCATATTCATATATATATATATATATATTCATGCACGTGCATCTGCAACTGTTTATGTATGTGAATATAGGTACCTATTTGTACGTGCATGCTGGTAAGTATGGCTGTCTGTCTGTATGTACGCATGCATCCACGCATGGATGTATGCATACATGCATGTATGTATGTGTGTGTATGCATGCATCTATGTAATGTATGTATGCATGCATGCATGCATGTATGCATGTATGTATATATGTACCTATGCATGTGTGTATGTATGTATGTACGTATGTACGTATGCATCTATGTATGTATGAATGGACGTACGTACGTACGTATGTATGTATGTATGCATGTAGGTATGTATGCATCTATGTATGTGTGTGTATGTATGTATGCATGCATGCATGTAGGTATGTATACATGGTATGTATGTACGTCTTAATGTTGTACTGTATACATGGATGTGTGTATCTATGCATGTGTGCGTGGATATATATATATATATATATATATATATGTATATATATATATAAATAAATAAATAAATTTGCATATTTGTATATGTACATGTGTGCATGTGTGTATACATGTGTATTTATGTATGCATTGTCGTACGACCGTATGAATTTATGCCTGTAAATACATGCATGTATGTGCGTACACCTATGTAGGTAGGTACGAATGCATGTATATGGCCATACCCGCACATGCATTATACACATATTGTAGTGGCCTTCGGCCAGTGCCGCCGATCCGGGTCGCTCGGTGTTATTCTCCAGACGCAGACATCATGGGCGCACACTCAAGCGCACAAACTTCTCGGGTTACCTACGAAAGGGCGTAGGAATGCAGTTGGGTCAATAGAGCCATCTCGCAACAGTGGTTCTATCAACGGCGGGGTGCTTGCAGTGACCGTGGGGACGGGAAATAATAATGACATGAACATTCCATACAGGATGCCGATCACTTTGGAAACTCACGATACGTCGTGCAGGGAGTCGTGTTACGAAACATGTGGCCTGGACGATGTGGTGCGAGCGGTGGAGGCGAGCCTATCGGCGCAAGGACGCCCTCTTGGGGCGTTTTTTGAGCCATCTTAGGAGCCTGTCAGGGCGTCGTGGGGGCTTCTTGGGGGCTTTCGGAGGCCCTCTTGGAGGCTCTTGGGGCCTCCTGGGGGCCTCGTGGGCTGGAAGGCTAGATTTTTTCTGCTTTTCGTCCCTCTTTTGGGTCCTCTTGGGGCCGTCTTGGGGGCCTGTTGGGCCGTCTTGGGCGGCTCTTGGGCCGCCTTGGGGCCCTCTTGGGCCGTCTTGGGACTGTCTGGGGGCCTCCTGGGCCGTCTTCGAGCGGTCTTGGGGGCCTCTTGGGCCGTCTTGGAGCGTCGGAAAGCCGAAAAAAGCGACAACCCCAAAAACATTGAAAAAACCAATGGGAATCAACGATTTTTGCCTCTGGGGGCCATCGTGGGAGGCCTCTTGGAGGCCTCTTCAGACGTCGTGGAAGGCTCTTGGGCCGTCTCGGGGCCATCTTGGGCGTGTTCGGGCGATCCTTCGGGGTCTCGGGACTTTCGTAGACCGTCCTCAGAGACTTTTGCGGCCGCGGCCACCCTTCCAGCGCATCCTCGAGATTAGAGCCTTCTGTAAAAGCAGTGCCCCGCATCCGCCGGAAACTCGCACCCCCCCCCCCCCATCCCCCCTTCCCCGGCAGAGCCACCCCGGCAACCCCCCCAGAAGCTGAGGCTCAGCCTCGAGGCTGTAGCTGAGACTCCTTGATACTCACACGCCGGATCGGCGGATATGTATACACATACACACATACACCGTTCGGACTTGTGCGTGTTGTCTTTGGCGAGGACCATCAATGAGGGCGCCCTCGAGGGCACGAAGTTATTCGCGCTTCGCGCTTCGCCGTTCGGGTCCGATTCCTCCTCGTCCTCCTCTTATCCCCTGGGGGACGGCGGTACAGCGCGAAGTTATTCGCGCTTCGCGCTTCGCGCAGCGCCAAGCGCGACATTTCGCGCCCGAGATCAAGGAACATCTTGGCCATCATGCGAGCCAGAAGCGCACGAAGCCGACACGCGCCCGGGGAATGCACGCTCGCCGCGCGGGGCGCTCGCCGCGGAGGCCGCGCTCCTCTGACGAGCGCGCGCTCGTGCGGTCGTGCTCCACAGGGGCCGGCAGCGCTGCTGGGCTGTGGCTCCGCGCCCGGCGGTGCTGCCCCGGCGGTGCTGCCGGACATGCCGAGGCCGAGCACTGGCGAGCGTGCTCCCACGAAGCCCGGCCTCGACAGCGCGCCAGCGTCAGGCTCAGGGAGGCTCGAGGCTCGAGACGAGCGTCCGCCAGTGTCATCGAAGAAGAAAACCGCCATGAACATAAGCTTTTGGCGCTCCGCGCGGATGTCTTGGATCCGCGCTCGACCCCCGTCCATGGCGCGCGGTATTTTTGTGCCCCCCTGGGCCTCGGAGTCGGCTGGGGGGTCTGAACTGGAAGGGGCCCCAGAATATCGGTCAGGAGGGGGGATGAGGCCAAATCCGGCCAATCTCTGTCCCCACACCCCTCCTGGGGTCCAGCTGGTGCAGTCATTCACCCCAGATTCGTTTTTCACTATCCCGGGGCCCGAGAACGGTTTTGGCCTCCAGAGCCGGAGAAAGGCAAAGATCAGGAGAGGAAAAAACACACAGACACAATTAATCCTCGATTCCCCCGAAAATATGGGAAAATATGGGAAGTGGGGGGGAAGACAAAAACCCAGAAAATATGGGGAAATATGGGGAATCTTCTGATTTGTGTGTATTTATTTGTGTGTCCCAGGGCCCCTTCAAAAGAGCCTTCCCGAACCCAGCATCTCGAACCTGCCCGCCCTTCCTGCTGGCCGGAACCGGTGCTGGGCCACCTCAGGCCCCCCGACGGCTCCAACCTTTCCTGCTCCTCCTCCTCCTCCTCCTGCTCTCCTTGTGCCTCCTTCTGCCTTTCTGCTGCCCTCCTCTCCCTCCTCCTCCTGCCCTCCTCCTCCTCCCTCCTGCCCTCCTCCTCCTCCTCCTCCTCCTCCTCCTCCTCCTCCTCCCTCCTCCCTCCTCCTCCCCCTCCTCCTCCTCCCTCCTCCTCCTCTCCTCCTCTTCCTCCTCCTCCTCCCCTCTCCTTTCCTCCCTGCTCCTCCTCCTCCTCCTCCTCCTCCTCCTCCTCCTCCTGCGCTCCTCCTGCCCTCCTCCTACCATTTTCCTACCCTCCTCCTCTGCCCTCGGCCGTCAGGCCGGCCCGCGCCGCACGAGGCGCGCGCGGGCGCGGGCCCAGCGGGGGCCCAGCCGGGTGTTCGGCCGCGCGCGCCCTCAGCGGGGGGCGCCTGTGCGGCTCCATGGGCGCGCCGCCGGAGCAGCCCGCAGGGGAGGGCGCCAAGGACGGCGGGGGAGGGCGCCAAGGACGGCGGAGGGCAGGAGGAGGAGGAGGAGGAGGAGGAGGAGGAGGAGGAGGAGGAGGAGGAGGAGGAGGAGGAGAGGAGGAGGAGGAGGAGGGCAGGAGGAGGAGGAGGAGGAGGAGGAGGAAGTGGAGGAGGAGGAGGAGGTGGAGGAGGAGGAGGTGGAGGAGGAGGCGGAGGAGGAATACTAATCATATCAAGAATATTCGCAGTATCAACACTAAACACAATCATACCCCTTGACGGGTACTCAGACTTAACTAATACTGGTGCACACAAGGAGAACACTAATAATCATAATGCTACTAATGATAATAGTATTAATAATCATAAGCATTAACATAAGACGAACACGAGCACTACGATTACTAACATAAAAAACGCATAGTCATCAGACGAATCAGACGGACTATACAAGTACTAATAAGACGGTCACATATCAGTGCTAGTAATAAGACCTTCACGCACAATATTACTACTAGTTATAAGAAGAGTACTATGGCCCTTAATACTAATACTAATCATCGTACTAGTTCCGTAAAGCAGAGAAGAGTTAATATCAGTAAAAAGAACACGATAATACATCATAGTTCTACGATGAAGGTGCTATGAATAATACTCAGGAGTGTATTAAGAACAGTGTGAACGATACTACGACGAATACTATCAATTTCACGATTCTTTATAAGCATAACAAGCTAATCATACCAATACTACGAACTACTAATCATAATAGTAATGACACCAATAAAAAAGAGGAGCATTACTACGACTACTACGACTACTACGAACACTACTGCTACTACTACTACTACTACTACTACTACTACTACTACTACTACTACTACTACTACTACTACTACTACATTTGCTACTATTACTACTATTATTTTTACTACATCAACAACTACTACTACTACTAGTATACATGTTAACCAGCTGAAGAACCATGAACATACCAATATGGAACTCATCATAAGACTATTACTGCTACTACACGGAATAATCGAGACAATATTAATACCATGCATGCTAATACTATTAATGAAACTGATACTCATAATGGTAATACTGATGTTGATCATAATAATTCAAGCACTCCGAATAATAATACGAGGAGGAGGAGGAGGAGGAGGAGGAGGAGGAGGAGGAGGAGGAGGAGGAGGAGGAGGAGGAGGAGGAGGAGGAGGAGGAGGAGGAGGAGGAGGAGCAGTAAAGGTTAGAGCCGTCCAGGGGTTCTGAGCTTGCCCAGCACTGGTTCTGGCCTGCAGGAGGGGCGCGCAGGTTCGAGGTTCTGGGTTCGGGAACGCTTCTTGTGCTTTTTCCGGCCTCCATGAACCGTTCTCAGGCCCCGCGGGACGGTGAAACACGAACCTGGGCTGAAATACTGCACCAGATGAACCCCAGGAGGGCTTTGGAGACCAACTTTGAGCAAACCGATTTCGCCCCCAACTGCTCGCTCCTCTTGAAGGGGGAGGGAGCTCAGGGGTCTAACCTGTCGAAGAAAGGAAGGCGGAGGCGTTTTCACTACTTTGGGCCTCCAGGGGCCGTCGCTGGGGCGCCCACGAGGCTCCCACCAGCGGTTCCGCTCGCAGCTGCCTGCCTCTCCGTCGGCCGTGTGGTGGGAGGAGGGCCTCAAACATCCGACGTTGCGTTTGTGTTTGCCGTAGCGTGGCTCACTGGAGGTGGAGGCCCCGTTCCCGATAGAGTTTCCACCCGACGCCCGCCCAGCGCACGGAGGCGCCCACGGGGCGCCGCGCGAGGCTCCCACCGGCGGGCATCGGGCGAACCCTGCAGAACTTCGGCATGCCCACCCAGCGCACGAGGCTTCCGCGGGGCTTCCACGAAGCACCCACGAGCTCGGAAACTGGAACACATCCATGGCCAGTGGCGGGCCGTTTTTCAATCCCAGGACTTCTTTTAAGGGTCGGGGACGACGTCGGGGTGGTTTGGTAGTATGCTGCTCCCCCTCTTTTTCCAAGGGAAACAGCGAAACATGTATACACCAGGATGCCGTATACACCAGAGTCCGTTTCCTTTCAGGAGGAAAAATACACACAGACACAATTATTCGTCGATCCCCCAGAAAATATGGGAAACCATGGGAACTGGGCGGGAAGACAAAAACCGAGAAAATATGGGAAAAGATGGGACATCCTTTTGTTTGTTTGTTTGTTTGTGTGTGTGTGTTGATTTGTGTGTCCTGGGGCCCCTTGATTCTTGTGCGAACCTCAGTGCGGGACCGGAAAGAGCATCGGTGTACAGCCACGCGCAGAGGGGGGTGAAGGGAGGGGGGAGGGCTTCTTAGAAGCACCCCTGCTTCTTAGAAGGCGCGGGCCTTATGTAAGGCTGGCGCCTTCTAAGAAGCAGCCTCCTTCTAAGAAGCCTTCCCCCCTCCCCCTACCCCCTTGTGCGCGCCGCCAAGGTGTACAAGCTTCGATGCCCTAACAAAGGGTGCCCACGAGGCGAGGCCTCGGCACGCCCCGGCCCGCGAGCGCCCAGCAGCCGGGCAGCCCAGCGCAGGCCAGTTACCTCGAGCGACACAGGCAAGGGCCCCCTAAGTGGAAGCACTGTTTTGCCTGGCATCGCTCGGACGTGTGTTTTTTTTCTCGGCGAGGATCATCGAGGACCATCCTCGACCAAAGAGCAAAAAAAACACGCACGAAACCGACCCCCCCCCCCCCCTCGTGCTCGGGCACGTGCACGTGCACGTTCTCGTGCTCACGCTCCTCCCCCCCTCTTCCTTGCCCCCGTGGTTGTCGTCCTCGTCCTCGTCGTGCTCGCCCTCCCTTCTCCTCCTCCCCCTCCTCCTCCTCCTCCTATCCTTGCGCTGCGATCCAAAATTGCGAAAAGCGACAACACCGTGAAAAATCACGACCAGAGCCCTAGCCCCCTCGTCTTTCTTCTGAGTCCCACCAGCCCTTTAGGGCGTCGGTGGTTTAACGAGTTTCCTCTTCCACCCCTCCTTCTTCCCCTTCGGGGAGGGGTTTACCCCTCCCCCTATCCCCTCCCCACTGACCTGAACAGGAGGGGCGGGGAGCGGTCAGAGCGTCCAAAACAGCCTCGGCGAGGAAGCCAAAAACATTAATTTTACTATGGTTTTGGCGCCATTTTGGCCTTCTCAGGGGGCAGCGCTAATAAGGCTCCCCTCTTCTTTGATCGATTTCCTCCACGATGGCCGCAAGAGGCCCCCAGGATGCCCCAAGAGGCCGCAGGATGGCCCCAAGATGGCCCCAAGAGGCCCCCCAAGAGGCCCCCAGGAGGCCCCCAAGAGACCCCCAAAAGGCCCCACGATGGCCCCAAGAGGCCCCAAGAGGCCCCCAGGAGGCCCCAAAGAGGATCCCGAACGGCCCACAGAGGCCCCCCTGTGGCACCCAAGACGCCGAAAAGCCCCTCAGGACGACCCTCTACTCGCCTGGGCGTCGTTTCTGGACGGGCTTGTGGGGATACGCGAAGCGTCTAGAATTTCTCAAGCCATATCGATCTGTGATTGTCCCAGGACTCGAAACCGGGCAAAAAGGTCCAGTGTAAAATACATGTGCGTTTCTTCGATCTCGAGGTTCGATGTTGGCAGCGGATTTTGCCCCGCCCGACGTCATGAGTTTTCCACAGCCCTCGACCCCCATATGTCTCGACCCATCCCCGGTACCAGCTTTTCATCGCGAGCAGTTTTTTGACTGTCCCAGGGCCCGGCGAGGGCCCCTTAGAGGCCGAGCAAAATCGACCAAACTATTTGGAGTTTTGGGTTTCTTAACAAGCGTGGGGGGGTACCCCTCCGACGGGGGTCAACCTCACCTCTTCGTCGCGCCGAAACGGGGGTCGGAGCGCCTTCGGTGCGCGGTGGCTACCCGCGACGGGGGTCGATGTGTGGCTGTCGGCGGGGGTGACGCCCCCCCGACGCTAATTAGGAAACTCGGAGTGCGTTTTTTCTAAAGCTGTTGGATTTTTTAGCTCCCCCGCCCTCCAGCAGCGAGCAGAGATCCCCCAAACTTGGGCCGAAAGGGGCTGGGAGGAGGAGGAGGAGGAGGAGGAGGAGGAGGAATAATAATAATAAGAATAATATTAATAATAATAATAATACTAATAATAATCATACTAATAAGAAAACAATAAGAATAATAATAAGAAGAAGACGAAGACGAATAATAATAATACGAATGCTAGTACTAATAAGAAGAATAATAAGACGAAGGCGACGAGTAATAATAATACGAATAATAAGAATAATAATCATACGAATAAGAAGACGAATACTCATAATACTAAGACTAATAATAATATGCATCATAATAATAATATTAATACGAACAAGAATAATACTACTAAGACGGCGATTAAGAATAATACGACGAAAGATAATAATAACAATAATACTATTAATAATAATAACAATAATAATAATACTATTACTAATAATATTAATAATAATAGTAATACATTATAATACTAATCATAATAGTAGTAATACTAATCATATTAATAATAAAAATAATATTAGCAATACCAATAATAATAACAATGATAACATTAATAATAAGAATACTACTAATATTAATACTAATACTAATAAATATAAATAAATAAATAAATAAATAAATAAATAACTAAATAAACACATACATAAATAAATAAATACATACATACATACATAAATAAATACATACATAACTAAATACATACATATAATAATAAAAACAATAATAATACTATTTATAATACTAATACTACTACTACTAATACTAATACTATTAATAATACTAATACTAATAATAATACTAATAATAATAATAGTAATAATATTAATAATAATGATAATAACAATAATACTAATAATGATAATAATAATATTAATAATAATAAAAATATCAATAATATTAATAATAATACTAATACTAATAATAATAATCATATTAAGAAGAATACTAAGAAGACGAATAATAATACGAACAAGAAGAGGAGGAGGAGGAGGAGGAGGAGGAGGAGGAGGAGGGGAGGAGGAGGCGGAGAGGCGGAGGCAGAGGCGGAGGAGGAGGCGGGGGGGGGGAGGGGGAGGGGGGAGAGGTGGAGGAGGAGGAGGGGAGGATGAGATGAGAGGAAGGAGGAGGATGAGGAGGAGGAGGAGGAGGAGGAGGAGTAGGAGGAGAGGACGAGGAGGAGGAGGAGGAGGAGGGATAAGGAGGAGGAGGAGGAGCAGAGGAGGAGGAGGAGGAGGAGGAGAGGAGCGAGAGAGGAGAGAGGAGGAGAGTATGAGGGGGGGGGGGAGGAGGAGGGGAGGAGGAGGAGGGAGAGGACGGAGGAGGAGGAGGAGGAGGAGGAGGAGGAGGAGGAGGAGGAGGAGGAGGAGCGAGCAAAGCTCCCCCCACCTCTCCGTCTGGATCGACCGGGCAGCGGTCGCGGTTCTCTGCTGCTGTCCCCTCGGGGACAAGGGGTTGCACGGCCGGCTCTCCGGGTCTGCCTTGCGGGGCGGGGGCAGGAGGGCCCTGCCACCCACTCGTCGAAGGGAAAGTCTTGACGAAATGCTGCTTCTCCCCAGTATCTCAAGATGGGGTGATCACAATGTCCCAACACCCTAAGATGGGGTTGTGGTTATTCTTGGCATCCTACGATGGGTTTCTTGTAATTACTCGGACGTCACCTACTCCCTCCTTCCCTCCTTCCTCCTCCTCCTCCTCGCTCAGACTCGCTCACCCTCAGCGAAGGGGGTCAGCCACGTGCAGATGGTGTTTGGGGGGCAGTGCTTCTTAGAAGCACCCCTGCTTCTCAGAAGGCGCGGGCCTTCTTGCCAGAGGAACGACGAACAAAAAAACGGGGTCCACTGCGCCGACATTGGCGCCTGAGCTCCCCGCGTTAGGTCGCGCGTAAGCGCCCTCGTCTCCATAGTGGCTTGCCGCGCTGGTGGCCCGCGTAAGCCACCGCGTAAGGTCGCCATGCCATCTCGCGTAGGACCCGTTTTTGATCGTCGCTCAGATGTAGGGCCGGCGCCCTCGAGGAAACAGCCTTCTAAGAAGCTTTCCCTCCCTCTCCATCCTCTTTGTGTGTGCCGCCAAAGGAGGGCCCTAACATCCGTCGTGGGCGAAAAACATTTTCGTGTCCGCAGCTTCGCGGGCTGGGCCCCCGGGCTGCGACCCCGCAGATACGGGGTGTTTTTTCGCGGACGCCCCGCGCGGAACGTATCCGTGCGACCGCGTACTTGCGGGATCGCGCCTTGAAATCCAGACCGCGAGGGCGCGGATACGGATATGTTTGCCGCTTGTGAATTCGCGCGCCACAGGGAAAATCATGACGGAATTCTCTTTTCCTACGCTTCCATCCTCTGAGGGCTCCTGCTGGGCTCTGGGGCAGTCGAAAACCGACTCGGGACGAAACAACGGCCCCCAGGAAGGTGTCCAGACCTCCGGGGAGCCACGTCCTGACCCCCAACAAAAAACGACGTCGGATGCCTGAGGATCAGGGCCGACTCTCGGGGATTGCCGTGCGAGGAGGGGGTGGGGCCAGGAGGGCCCAGACATCCGCGCGTCGAAGGGAAGATCACGGCGGAATCATGTCTTTCCTGCGCTTTTCCCTGAGGACCTAGTCGGCCCACATCTGGACGGCTCTACTGCGCGTGCCCTTGCGTTCCGCGTACTGGGCCTCGTCAGCGCCCATGGATGCACCGACGGTGTGGCCCGGCCGCTGCCACGGTCCCCGCCGCCGAGGCTGGCCGCGCCAGCGCACTCAGGATGGAAGTCTTCTGCCTCAGAGTGCCGCCCCCCTCCTCCCTCCTCCTCCGCGGCCGCCCTTTCTTTGTCGGTCTCCTCGCGTGTACGCCGGGCAATACGCTCTTCGGTAGCCCCGTTTCGCCTTGAGTCGGGCGTGTCCCTCTACAGGAGGAGTATTCGAGAATAGTCAAAAGATAGTATGGAGACGATTTTTCTGGACTATTTTTGAGTTTTTTCTGAGCATGTTTGAAGTTTTCTCGACCCAAGGTTCGCCCGACCGCAAGTGCAGCAATTCCGCCTCGCCGCCGGTCTCACTCGGGAGGCAAGGGCGATGACGGTCCTGCGGCAGGGTTACCTGTCGTCTCCCCGGCACGATATGCGAGATGGACACCAAGCGGGCGTGTACGTTGTCTCCCTCTCGCCTCTTCCTCCCTCTTCTCTAAAATAGCGCTAAAAACACTTCGCCTCGCCGCCCCCCAAAAAGCATGCTTCTCTTGCGCTTCCGGCCTCTGAGAGCTCCTCTGCTGGGCCCCGCCCCTCCTCCACGGACGGAGCTCCCCCCCCCAAGGTCGTCCTCTCTTCCTCCTCCTCCTCCTCCTCCTCCTCCTCCTCCTCCTTCGATTCGATTCGATTCCATTTCGATGGCCTCCGACTCCGCTGCGATTCGGCCTCGGATGCCGCTTTGGAGGCCCACTCTCCAGTGGAGGCCTCCTAGCCTGCCGATTCCTGCCGACTCGACCTCTCCCGACTGGGCTGCCGATTTCTGCCGATCCGACCCACTTCGATCGCGCCGATCCGACTTCTCGCTTCGAATCCGGGCCCTCCTGCCTCCAGGATGTCGCGGAGAGCGCGGCGGCCGAGAGGCAGGAGGACCGGGAGCAGGGCCCGCACGTCCGCTTCGGGGTGACCGAGCCCATCAGCCTGGGGCTGCCGACCAAGGATCTGGACGCCCGAGATGGGCACGGAAAGAATGGGTACGATGCCTGACAGCAGTTCTCGTTCATTCTGAGCAGGATTCGCTGTCCACGCCGCCGCGGCCTGTGTCCATTCGAGACAGCAGGCCGCCTGCCCAACAGCGGCCGCTGTTGGTTTGGGACAACATTTGCTGTTGGGCATTGTACCCATTCTTTCGGTACCCATTTCGGGTGTCCAAAAAGGATCTGGTTGGCCCCAAAACTTGGCATCGCTCGGACGTGTGCATTTTTTCTCGGCGAAGACCATCGAGGAGCATCCTGGACCATCGAGCAAAAAAACACGCACGAAACCGAAAAATGCACGGGAAATGGACGTCCGAGCGACGGCCAGAAAAGGGGGTCCAGCGAGAAGGGGGTGGTGCAATAGATTTGGTGCAATAGATTCGTGGGGTTGCAGAAGATCTGGGCCGTCGTGCAGTGCATTCGTTGCAGTGCAAGGCAGTCCAATTCTGTGGCGCAATGCATTTGCAGCACAATGGCCCCAAACCTATCGCACCACCCCCTTTCAGTTGGACCCTCTTGTGGGCCAACCAAAAAGGAGGAGGTGGCCCGCACTGGGACCCTGCTGGAGGAGCCCCGGCGAGCCTGTCAGGGGTCCCCAAACGTCGGGGGCGGGCAAGAGGTCAGAGGAGGAGAAGGTACCCACACCGCTACCCTTCCCTCGTCTTTGGCTTTTTGGGCCTCCTGGGGGTCCCTCGTCTTCGGCTTTTTGGGCCTCCTGGGGGAGTGGCGGTATCGGCATCTTCTGGTTCCCCCAAGAGAGGGGTGATGACTGGGGGTGTGCAGATATCATGGCCGGGGTTATTACTTCTTCAGGACTTCATGCTGCACTCCTCATTTTCCACACGTCCCCTGGCCCTTCTCCGTCGGCGCAGGTCTCTCTCGGCCCATGCTGCGGATCCCCCTCCTCGTTGACGCCACCTCCTGGACGCTCTCGAAAACGGTGCGGTGACCACACCGTGTGGTGAGTCAGTGGAGATTTATGGTCACCGCTCGGTTTTGGGACTCGGGTCGTTTCCCGAGGACGTCTCGGGCGACCGGGGCCTTAGGCGTCCCAAGATCGTGCGGGGACGGACCGTGCGGTGAGATCTCTTGGGATTCCGAGGTCACCGCAAGGTCTGTCACTATACGGTTGAGGCCTCTAAAAGGAGACTGTGGCCCGCAGTGGGACCTTGCTGGAGAAGCCCCGGCGAGCACGTCAGGGGCGTTCGTTTGCGTTTTTTTGCGTCTTGATGTGTGTTGCGCACATTCGCTGCAAACATTTGCAAGAGCTTCACGGATTGAGAGCGGCTCCTTTTCGAAATGTGGTTCTCGCCCAAGCGCCGCGCACATTCGTTTCAAACATTTGCAAGAGTTTCACGGATTCCCATGGTCAACGTACCAAAACATGGTGTTTTGGACGGATTCAGGATTATGCGGGTGCAGCAGTTGTGTTGATTCGCGGTGTTGAAATCCAAAACGCGGCGTTATGGCACGATTCCGGATCGCAAAAATGCAGCAGTCAAGTTGATACGTGGCGTTGGAATCCCGAGAGCAATGTTTTGGCATGCTTCAGGATCTTTAAACGGTTGTCTTCCAACGAGGCAGTTCCCTTCATGGAAATGAGCCGCTGTAGCGGCCTATGAAGAGGGAGCTTGGAGGGAGGGTTAATTCCAGCATCGTTGATGACTCCTGGGTTTACACTGGTCCTCCTCCTCCTCCTCCACCGATCCTGGCCAGGCCGATCCCGGGCCGGGGACCAGAGCGTGTGCTCGGCCAGTCTAGCAGGGCGTATGCACGGAGAGTCCAGGCCCAGGCTGGGCCCTCCTCCTCCTCCTCCTCCTCCTCCTCCTCCTCTTCCCCCTCCCCTTTCCTGCTCCTCCCTCCTCCGATCCTCCTCATTTCCCCCGTCCCCCTCCTCCTCTTCCTCCTCATCGTACTCCTACCCATCCTTCCGATCGCCATCCTCCCGAGTCCTTCGCACCCTGCGAGTCGTGAGCATCTCCTTCCACCCCCTTGCCTCGGGAGAGGACCCCCCAGCACGCCGAGGCTCTTAGACCCTCGGTGTTGGCCCAGGCCCAGGCTGGGCCGCGCCAGAGCCGGTGCAGGTGCGCAGTCGGCGCCCTCCCGCACGCAGGAGACGGGTAGTCTTGCTCACCTCGAGGAGCGAATACGAGACGAACTGCTCACAACCAAAGCTGCGCGATCTCGAGGAGCGAGTGTCTCAGGCCGGAGACCTTACAGATCGTAGGTCAGAGAGACCTTACACAGGTCGCAGGTCGGAGACCGTCAGTATCAGGGCATGTCGGGCATCGAAGATCGGAGACCTTCCAGATCGCAGATCCGGACCTGGGTGCCACGACCAGGGGGGCTCAAATCGTTCAAACTCGATCCTCTTACTCTTCTGACAAAACGCCCCCCTGGGCCTCTCCTGTGGTGCGTTTTGGGCAGTGGTTTCGAGGCGTTCAAAATCCTCGATCCTCGAAATTCGATCCCTTATCATCCTCCTCCTCCTCCTCCTCCTCCTCTTCGAGAGGACGTTCTTCATTCTCAGACTCCCCAGGCATCCAGAGGTGCTCCCCAATTTGTCATCGCCACTGAGGGGCAACCGCTTCAAGCGTGAGGAGGAAGAGGAGGAGGAGGAGGAGGAGGAGGAGGAGGAGGAGGAGGAGGAGGAGGAGGAGGAGGAGGAGGAGGAGGAGGGGAATCCAGAACTCCTCGCGCCGCGTCCTCTGGGGGCCCTGGGGCCGTCCACAAGCGGCCCAGGGTGGAATAGTGGGCCTCATGGGGTGGGGGTCGAGACCTGGAGGGGCTCACGCCGTGACAAGAGTCGCGTCGTGGGGGGTCTGGTCCGTGCCGATGCGATGTGATTCGACATCGATTCCGCTCAGCCCGATTCGATTCGGCTCCGATGTTCTGACGATCTGATGTGGCAGACGCTCGTGTGGTGCTGTTGTGCGTCCTGGCGCGGCCAGTTCGCTTCGATTTCGAGTCCGTGCCGATGCGGCCCGCTCCGCCTCGATCCTCGCCTCCACGTCCTCCTCCCACTCCCTTCCTTCGCCCCTTCTCTTCCTCCACGCTTTTCCTTCCTCCCTCCTCCTCGTCCTTTTCCTCCTCCTCCTCCTCCTCCCCTCCTCCTCCTCCTCCTCCTCCTCCTCCTCCTCCTCCCTCCTACTCCCTCCCTCCTCCTCCTCCTCCTCCTCCTCCTCCTCCGCCTCCTCCTCCTCCTCCCTCCCCTCGATCCTCGATCCTCGATCCTTGATCCTCCTCCTCCTCGATCCTCCTCCTCCTCCTCCTCCTCCTCCTCCTCCTCCTCCTCCTCCCTTGGGTGCGGGGGACGGCGGGCCCCTGGCGAGCGGAGGAGCTCCGGCGAGACGCGCCCCTGGAGGGGGAGGAGAAGATGCGGTTCCGCAGCTCGGTCCTGGTCGAGGTGAGGCTTATGTCGGGCGTGCCCCCCTGCAGGGGGAGTTTCGACGACAAATAAAAAGTACCCCCAAACATACCCCGAAAAGGCAAAACACATACTCAAAACATGGTCCCCAGACTATTTTTGGGCTACTTTTTGATTATTTTTGGGGTATTCTTTATTTCTCGTCGGAAATCTCCCTGTAGGGGGACAGGCCCGACTTAAGGTGAGGCGCATCGCGCTGCAGTGGGTCTACGAGGTTCGAAGAAGAAAACTCGGAGGTGGATAGACCTCCCACCCTGACACGTCGATTGAGGAATTGGCCGCTTTCGGTTCGCGAGGGGGCGTCGCGGCCGTCATTTTTGCGGGTCCTGGTCCGTCGGTCTCGGTCCCAGGCCGTTCTCACTAAGGGGAGGTCTACTAAAGGGAGGTTTGTCCACCGCCGAAGAAAACCACATAATCATAAGCTTTTGGCGCTCCGCGAGGATTTCTTGGATCCGTGCCTGGGCCCCCCGGCGGCGCCCCCGGCGCCGCCATGGGCGCGCTCCGCGCGCCAGGGAGGGGCCCAGCGCGAATCCGAGAAGTCCGCGCGGAGCGCCAGAAGTTGATGTGCATGTGCTTTGTTTGTCCTTCTTCTAGAGGTGAGCATCCAGCAGGGCATGGACGAGGATCGAGGGGCAAAGCACGACGCCAACAGGCACCCGCGAGAAGCCCCAAGCAGCGGACCTCTCCCGCGGTTTTCGCGCACGCACTCCACGCCCGCCTCCCCCCCCCCTCTCCCTCGCTCTCGGTACTCCAGATGTCGTAATAAAAGGGAGGGGGTCTGGACCCTCCAAGACAAGCCATTTCAGACCCCCCCTGTGGGAGAACTCTCCAAAACATCGTCCCCAGACCCCCCCAGGCCCTCCAAGATAGCCTGGAAGAGACCCCCCCCGAAATGAGACCCCCCTCCCTTTATTACGAAATCTGGAGTACCGCTCTCTCTCTCTCTCTCTCTCTGGCGAAAAGGTTTTCGAAGCCGCACGTATACACACCATCCGCATGCTCCCTGTTTACTTGATGTGCCCTCACACTTCGCTCTGCACTCTTTTGCCTCATGCCTGCTCTAAACTTGTTAGATCGAAGACGCCTACGGCGAATCACCTCCCCCTGCCTTCTAGAATCGCCCACGTGGCCGAGCGTTGTGGCAAGAGCTCTGCCAAGCTATCGGACCATGTGTTCCCCCAATCGTTGTGGAGGCCCTTCGGGGAACACTTGGGGGAGGATGGCGGGGAAGATCAGAAGGAGGCGGAGGAGGAGGAGGAGGAGGAGGAGGAGGAGGAGGAGGAGGAGGAGGAGGAGGAGGAGGAGGAGGAGGAGGAGGAGTAGGAGTAGGAGAAGGAGGGGGCATTTTGGGAGCCTCTGGGGACACTCTTGGGGCCTCCTGGGAGCTTCCTGGGAGCCTCTTGGATCTTGGGAGCCTCCTTGGGCCTCTTGGGGGCCTTTGGGGGCTTTTCGGGGGCCTCTTTGGCCGTCTTGGTGAGCTCCTGGCCCGTCGGTCGCTGTCGGACGCCGTCTTGGGGGCCTCCCTGGGCCGCCTTGGGGCCCTCTTGGTGTGCTCCAGGACCGTCTTGGAGGTCATCTTTCTTGGGCGTCTTGGAGGTCTCTTGGGCCGCTCTGAGGGCCCTCTCGGGGCCGTCTTGGGGGCCTCTTGGGCCGTTCTGGGGGCCCGGATGCCTCTTGGGCGATTTTTGCTGGGTAGTCGAAGGCCAGACTGTCAGACTGGATTGGGCCCCAAGGGCCAATCTGGCCTGGCCAAACTGGAGGATTGGGGTGATTCGCCAGACTGGATTCGCGTTGGCTCCCTCGTCAGATTGCCCCCGTTTGCCAGATTGGGCCTGCCAGATTGGCGCCAGATTGGCTTCGACTACCCAGATGTGGCGGGACTCTTGGGCCGTCTCGCGCTGTCGGAAGGCCGAAAAGAAACAAATGTCCAAACGCTTCAAGCACCTAAGAGAACATCAATGATCTTGACCTCTTCGGGCCTTCCTGGAGGCTCTCTTGGAGGCCTCTTGGGCCGTCTTGGAGACCTTTGGGGGCCTCTTGGGCCGTCTTGGGCCATCTTGGAGCCATCTTGGGCTGTCTAGGTGGGCTCCTGATCCGTCGGACGCCGTCGGAAGCTGTCTTGGGGCCTCTCGGTGCCGAATTGGGGCCCTCTTGGGTGGGGTGCTCCAGGGCCGTCTTGGAGGCCATCTTGGGCGTCTTGCAGACCTCTTGGGCCGTCTTTGGGTCCTCTCGGGGCGGTCTTGACAGCCTCTTGGGCCGTTCTGGGGCCATCTTGGAGGTCTCTTGGGCGATCTTGGAGCGATCTTTGGGGGCTCTTGGGCCGTCTCGGGCCGTCGGAAAGCGGAAAATAAGCAAATGCCAGAATTCTTCAAAAACCTAAGACAAATCAATGATTTTGGCCTCTTCGGGCCTTCCTGGAGGACCTCCCGGAGGCCTCGTAGGCTGCCTTGGAGGCCTCGCGGGGGCGTCTTGGGCCGTCTTGGCGGCAGCTTGGGCCGACTTGGAGGCATCTTGGACCCTCCTGGGCCGTCGTGGAGGCCATCTTGGCCCATCTTGTGCGAACTTGGAAGCCACCTAGGGCCACCTGAGCCGTCTCGGAGGCCATCGAGGGCCATTTTGGAGCGGGAAAGGCATTCACCCGAGAATTTTTTGTGGACGTTGAGAGCTCGTTTCCGGGCTTTGTGCGGCTTTGTGCGCTCTTCCAGGTGGCCGGCGGGACGGGCCGAAGCCCCAGGCGAGAGTTCTTTTGGAAAAAGAACCAAAACCAAAACCGAGGGGTTTAGTACGCCAGGCACCCCTGTGACAAGCACAGGGGGTTTCGGATATCGAAGACGCCTACGGCGAATCACCGCCGCCCCCTACCTTTTTGGAAGCGCCTATGTGGCCGAACGTTGAGGCCAGCCCTGCCAAGCTATCGGACCATGTGGTCCCGAATCGGTTTGGAAAGCCTTCGGGGAACACGTGGGCATCTTGGAGGTCATCTTGGCCGCCTGGAGGCCATTTTGACCCTTTCTGGCCTTCTTGGAGGACGTCTTGGAGGGCTCTTGGACCGTCTTGGAGGCCATCTTGGGCCGTCTTGGGGGCCTCTTGGGACCGTCTTGGGCCTCTTGGGCGATGTTTGGGGGCACTTGGGCCGTCTCGGGCCGTCGGAAGGCCGTAAAAAGCAAATGCCACAATCTTTCAAAAACGCATGGGAAATGCCCTTCTGGAGGCCCTCTTGGAGGCCTCTTGGGCCGTCTTGGGCCAGCTTCGAGCCAACTTCAGCCGTCTTGGTGGGCTCCTGGCCCGTTCGACGCCGTCGCAAGCTGTTTGGGGGGTCTCTCTGAGCCGACTTGGGACCCTCTTGGGGTGCTCCAGGGCCGTCTTCGAGGCCATCTTGGGCGTCTTGGAGGCCTTTTGAGTAGTCTTTGTGCCCTCGTGGGGCCGTCTTGGGGGCCTCTTGGGCAGTCCTGAGGCCATCTTGGAGGCCTCTTGGGCGCTGTGGGGGCGATCTTGGGGACCTCTTGGGTCGTCTTGGGTCGTCGGAAAGGAAAAGGAGCAAATACGAAAAACTTTTAAACACCTAAGGACAATTACTGATTTTGGCCTCTTCGGGCCCTCCTGGAGGGCCTCTTGGAGGCCTCTTGGGCCGTCTTGGAGGCCTCTTGGGCACCTCTTGGGTCGTCTTGGGCCGTCTTGGAAGTTTCTTGGGCGGACTTGGAGGCATCTCCTCCTCTCTTGGGCAGACTTGGAGGCCATCTTGGACCATCTTGGAGGCCATCTTGGGCCAACCTGGCCACCTTGGAGGCCATTTTCAGCCGTCTTGGAGGACACATTGGGGAAGTCCTGCTCCGTGGCAATCCTCCTGGGACCCCGGCGGGACGGGCCGAAGCCCCAGGGGGAGTTCTTTTGGAAAAGAACCAAAACCAAAACCGAGAGGGTTTAGCACGCCAGGCACCCCTGCGATGAATCGACAGGGGGCGGCGGATCGAAAACGCCTACGGCGAATCACCGCCGCCCCCTGCCTTTTTGGAAGCGCCTATGTGGCCGAACGTTGAGGCCAGACCTGCCCAAGCTATCGGACCATGTGTTCCCCGAATCGGTTTGGAAAGCCTTCGGGGAACACGTGGGCATCTTGAAGGTCATCTTGGCCGCCTGGAGACCATTTTGACCCTTTCGGGCCTTCTTGGAGGACGTCTTGGAGGGCTCTTGGGCCGTCTTGGAGGCCATCTAAAGCGTCTTGGAGGCCTCTTGGGCCGTCTTGGGGGCCTCTTGGGGCCGTCTTGGGCCTCTTGGGCGATCTTTGGGGGCACTTGGGCCGTCTCGGGCCGTCGAAAGGCCGAAACATTGGAGGCCTCTTGGGCCGCTTTGGGCCAGCTTCGAGCCAACTTCGGCCATCTTGGTGGGCCCCTGGCCCGTCCGACGCCGTCGGAAGCTGTTTGGGGGGTCTCTCTGAGCCGTCTTGGGGCCCTCTTGGAATGCTCCATGGCCGTCTTGGAGGCCATCTTGGGCGTCTTAAGAGCCTCCTGGGCTGTCTTGGGGGCCTCTTGGGGCCGTCTTGGGGGCCTCTTGGGCCGTTCTGGGGCCATCTTGGAGTCATCTTGGGCGATCTTTGGGCGATCTTTGGGGGCTCTTGGGCCGTCTTGGGCCGTCGGAAGGCCGAAAAGAAGCAAATGTCAAAATCCTTCGAACACCTGAGGAACATCAGTGTTTCTGGCCTTTTCTGGCCTTCCTGGAGGCTCTCTTGGAGGCCTCTTGGGCCGTCTTGGGCCAGCTTCGAGCTAACTTCGGCCATCTTGGTGGGCTCCTGGCCTGTCTGACGCCGTCGGGAGCCGTCTTGGGGGCCTCTCTGAACCGACGTGGGGTCCTCCTGGGGCGCTTCGGGGTCGTCTTGGAGGCCATCTTGGGCGTCTTGGAGGTCTCTTGTGCCTCTTGGGGCTCTCTTGGGGCCGTCTTGGGGGTCCTTGTGCCATCAAGGGGCCCTCTTGGAGGCCTCGTGGGCGATCTTGGGGCGATCTTGGGGGCCTCTTGGTCCGTCTTGATCCGTCGGAATGCCGAGAAGAGGCAAATGCCCAAATCCTTCAACAATCTAAGGAAAGTCAAGTGTTTTAGCCTCTTCGGGCCCTCCTGGAGCACCTCTTGGAGGCCTCTTGGGCCGTATTGAGACCTCTTGGGCCGTCTTGGGTCATTTTGAGGCTATCTTACGCTATGTTGAGTACATCTTGGGCCGTCTTGGAGGCATCTTGGGGCCATCTTAGCCGTCTTGGAGGCCGTCTTGGCCGTCTGGGATGCATCGTGGAGGCCATCTTGGGCCGTCGTGGAGCCGTCTGGACCAGGAAGAACCCTTTGGAGCCGGGTCCGGGGAAGTTTTCGGCATCCTTTCGGGTGGCCGGCGGGACGCGCCGGAGCCCCAGGGGGAGTTCTTTTGGAAAAAGAACCAGAACCAAAAACGATAGGATTCAGCACGTCGGGCACCCCTGTGACAAGCACAGGGGGCGGCGGATCTAATGGCTTTCGGCTCATCTCACCACCGTGCCTGGGTTGTGGGTTTGAAGCCAATTGAACGTTCGTTGGAATCTCATGGGAGGCTTCTCGGGGGCCTCTTGGGGGCCCCCTCGCGCGGACTGTCACAATTTACAGTAGTAGTTAGAAACTGGACTACAAGGTGGGGTACTTGAAACTGGAACTGAAGCAGGGAGCAGCAAGCCTAATCCCCGAAGCGTCATGACCCCGCACGTGGGCAGGCGGATATCATTGCTGAGCGTGGTTACAAGGACTTGGTTACTTGGCCACATCGAAAACCTGGGGACCTTACAACGCCGGAAACTCCAGAACCGGAATTGAGAACTCGGAAATTTGGCCGCCCACCGAAATCGGCCCAGAACCCAGAACCGGGAACCCAGGAACCCGGAACCAGAAACCTGGGAACCCGGCCCCCCACCGAACTCGGCGCCGTGCCTTCGCCAACTCTTTCGATCTACCCCTCCAGTGGAAGCGCTGATTGGGGATCTGTAGGAGGTCCATGCGGACTTCTTGGATCGGCCCTGGACCCCCCTGGCGGCTCCTCTGTCGCCGTCTCCGGCGTGCTCCGCGCGCCAGGGAAGGGGCCTAGCGCCGATCCAAGAAATCCACGCGGACTTGCGAAAACTATTTCTGATGTCATGTTTTCTTATTCTAGAGGAGGCCGCGAGGCTGGCTGGAGCAAAGATCTTCACCTTTGGATCGTACAGGCTCGGACTCGTGAGCCCTGGGTCAGACATAGACGCGCTGTGTGTCGTTCCGAGACACATCACGCGCGATAATTTCTTCCAGGTGCTCGCAGGCAAGCTCGGCGAGAATCCGGACGTGACAGACCTTTCGCCTGTGCCCGACGCGTATGTGCCAATCATCAAACTCACGATGTGCGGCATTGAGATGGATCTGCTCTTCGCGCGACTGTCGCTGACACAGATACCAGAAGAGCTGGAATCTCTGAATGATGACAACCTGCTAAAGAATATGGACGATAAGACGGTGCGAAGCCTGAATGGCTGCAGGGTCGCTGATCACATTCTCGAGCTAGTGCCCAATCCCGACAGTTTCAGAGATACGCTGCGATTCGTCAAGATTTGGGCAAAACGACGGGGTATCTACTCAAATGTCCTTGGCTTTTTCGGCGGGATCACATGGGCAATTCTCGTAGCTCGGGTGTGCCAATTGTACCCACACTTCACCGCGGCTGCGTTGGCGAGGCGCTTTTTCAGGGTGTACGACCGCTGGGATTGGAAGAATCCAGTGGCTCTGTGTCCTATCCGTGAGCAGCCAACTGTAAACGGGCTAATGCAGTTTAAAGTGTGGAACCCGAAGTTGTATCCTCAAGACCGGATGCACTTGATGCCCATCGTCACTCCAGCGTTTCCATCGATGAATTCTACATACAATGTGTCTGAGTCAACGAAGAGGACTCTCCTGGCAGAGTTCGACAGAGCGTACAAGTTAATGGAGCAAGTCGAACAGGGGTCATGCAATTTCGCGGATGTGTACAAGCCGTTGCCGTTTTTCTCCACGTACAAGGTGTTCTTGCACATCGAGATCCTGGCGAGGTCGAAACCGCTGTTCTCGAAGTGGAGAGGATGGATCGAGTCCAAGCTGCGCCACCTGGTCAAGCACATGGAGAACATACCGTCCGTGAGCGTGCGCCCCTGGCCGAACCACGTGGACTTCGAGGACGCGGAGTGGCCCTACGCCACCGCCGTCTTCATGGGCATGACGGTCCCCAAGAAGGGCTCGCACCAGACCATCGACCTGCGCGGGCCCGTGACCAAGTTCGTGGAGATCATCCACTCGTGGCAGGGCCACGGCGAGTACGCGGGGCAGTGCGACATGAACGTGCGGCACGTGCTGCGGCGGGACCTGCCGCCCTACGTGCCCACCGAGGAGCTCTCCTCCGCACTCCTGCTCCTCCTCCCTGGACCTGCTCCTCCACATCTCCTCCTCCTCCTCCTCCTCCTCCACATCTCCTCCTCCTCCTCCACATCTCCTCCTCCTCCTCCACATCTCCTCCTCCTTCTCCACATCTCCTCCTCCTCCTCCTCCTCCTCCTCCTCCTCCTCCTCCTCCTCGTCCTCCGCCTTCGGGTTCCATTCCTCAGACCATCCCAGGGTCCATCCTGGCTGGCGTTCCGCCCGGGTCGGTTGTTGGCAGTCCCGAGGGCCCGACACGGCCTCCCCAGGGCCGACGTTTTGGAAAGACTTCTGGCGCGGACAATCTTTTGCCGATCCTCCTCTTTCGCGTACGTTGCCGCGCGCGCGATCGAGGACTGGGCGATCGCCGCTCTGTCCCTACCCCTGCTGCTGCCCCCCACTCCAGGCGCCAGGGGGGCAGGGTATGAAAAACAGTACGGTCGGACCGAGGTCTAAGATCGAGGTCGGTTCGGGGAGGGTACCCAAATGTTCTTCGTCTTTGTTGGATGTTCTTCAGCATCCCGGGTGAGGGCACCCTCGAATGTTCTTCAGTTTGGGCCGGCGGAGAGTCCCATGTTTTTGAGGGATCTTCGTCTGTCCTAGGTCCGACCGGATCCATTGGAGGTAACGGCCGTTACCGGGGCAGGGCTCATTTCGATTCCTCCGATTCGATTTGATTCGATTTCGGTGGCTTCCGATTCCGATTCGATTCGACTTCGGATTCTGATTTGGGCTCCGATTTTTCAATCGAGGCCTGCTAAACTGCCGATTTCCGCCGATTCGACTTTTAACGATTCGGCTGCCGATTTCCGGCGATCCGATTGATTTCGATCGCATTCGACTTATCGATTCGATGTGGGGCTCTCCTGCTGGGGGGAGGATGGTAGCGGGGGGGCCGGTAACGTCACGTTTCGCGCCAGCGTCGGCTGGAAACGCTCTCCTGAGGTCAGGGTCGACGATATGGGGGATAGGCATAGAGGGGGGTGCATCGACCCCCAATCGCCCATTCATCGCCGATGTCGGTCGGCGATTCGCGGATTTCTTGTGTCTGCGCCGGAGCCTGGAGCGCACCAGGGGCGGCGCCTGAGGCTCCGCTGCGGGGGGCCCAGCTCGGACCCAAGAAATCCGCGCGGAGCGCCGGAAGTTTATGTCTATGCCGCTTTTCCTGCCTCCAACGAGCGCGCAAGACGCCACTGTCGCACCGCACTCGGCGACCAGGGGGCCCCCGTGTGCGCGCGCCAGAAGGCCACCATCTTGCGTGCAGTTCGACGGCTGGGCAAGAGCGACCTTTTGCGCGCGGCTTCTTCAGGGCCCCGCGCTTCGAGAATCGTCTCGAGTCGAGTCGAGATCGGAGCGCCGCACCCGGCTCTGGGTGGCTCCGGCCGATGCCGGTCCATCGAGCCGATGCAAGTCGAGATCGCGGCGCCGTCGGACGAAGCGAGTCGCATCGAGTCTGCTCGTAGGCGGTCCGGCCCTGAGCTTGCCTGCCAGCACGCCGATCTATCGGCGATGCATCGCCGATTCCAGGTCGATGTCTCCCCCCCTGTGCCAGTCCCCCCCCTATCGTTGTCCCTCATGAGCAGGGACCGACCGTCCGGGCATTTCCATAGGCCTACCACGTATTGTTCTCAGAACCCAGGAATGTTTTAAATTACAAAATCGATGTTCTTAGGTAAGTTCAGAACTGTTCGAAGAACATGTCGTGGAGGCCACAAGAGGTTCTTGGAACATTGTTTGGTAGGCCTATAGGCACGCCAGGACGCTTCGCCACTGCTTTGACCCTCGTGAGGACGGGAAGCCGCGGAAGGCGGCGGCCAGAGTGGACTCCATGGAGTCCCTGGCGCTGGCGGGGCCCCAGGCGGCTGGAGAGCTGTGCCGCACCCCCTCGTCCAGCCTTCCCACCAGCCACCGTGATTCCTGCTCCTGCTCCTCCTCCTCCTCCTCCTCCTCCTTTCCCTCCTCCTCCTCCTCCACTCCTCCCCCCCACTCCTCTTCCTCCTCCTCCTCCTCCTCCGTTCCCTCCTCTGTCTACTGCTCCTCCTCCTCCTCCTCCTCCTCCTCCTCCTCATCCCTTCTCCTCACAAGCAGCTTCAGAGGGACGGCGACGGCACCGCCGAGGGGCCGCCGAAGGGCCGCCGAGGGCCCGAAGAGAGGCGGATGCCCCCCCGAAAGGCGGGCGACGTGCCCGAGGCCGGAGCCAAGCGGGAGACCGACGCCACCGACGCCCCAGCCGCGAAGCGGCCGCGCAGCGGCGAGGCGACCGCTGCGGCGCGGCCGCCGCCGCCGCCGTCGTCGCGTCGGCCACGGCGACGGCGCCGACGCTGGGCGTGCAGAAGGCAGGGTGCATTAGCCGATCTGTCCGTTTTTTTTTTTTTTTTTTTTTTTTTTTTTTTTTTTTTTTTTTTTTTTTTTTGCTGTTTTTTTTTCTTCCTCTCTCTCTCTCTATATATATATATTTAAACATATATATACATATATGTATGTATATATGTATATATATATATATATCTCTCTCTCTCTCTCTCTTATTGATTCTGTCCGTCCCAGGCTGGTTCGAGTCGGTTCCGATATTCTGGCGATCGGGTGCGGCCCGATGTTTGCATCGTGCTGTTGTGCATCCTGGCGCAGCCGATCCGATCCGCTCTCGACTTCGTGCCGATGCAGTGTCCGATCTTATGCACATTTCGATTCGATGCTGACCTATCCCGATTCGATGCTGACCTATCCTGAAATATCTTCCTTAGCAGCGAGTGTTGTTTCTTTTTTGTCTGACGCGTAGCATTCATTCGTTGCACGGCCCTTCCCTTGGGTTAGAGGTAACGCTCGTGCGTGGGGGGGGTGCTGGCCCCCTCCCCTGCATGCTGGGGATCGCGCGCAGCCTGTGGCGACTGAAGCGCCGCCCCCCCCCCCCACGTACCCCGCCCCGCCCAAGCGTTACCCTTACCCAGGGCCCCAGTCCCCTCTCTCCGGGCAGCGACCGTTACCCGACACAAGCAGGAGCAACTCGCCGGCGGCGGCGCCGATGTCAGGGGAGCAAGAGGGCCTCTGCCCCAGAGAAAGCGCATGTGTGGGTGCGTCTATTTTTTTTCGCCGCTTTTGCGAGACATCCCCGCAGGCGGGTTTCGCAATTGTTGACGCTTCGCGTATCCCCACCAGCCCATCCAGAAACGATGCTCAGGGGAGTTGAGGTGATCAGGGAAGTCGGGGAGCATGCAGAATAACAAAGGGCGGGGGAAGCTGTCACAGACCCCGAGAGGGGGAGGATGGAAGAGGAGTCGTCGTCGTCGTCGTCGTCGTCGTCGGAGGAGGAGGAGGAGGAGGGGGAAGAGGAGGAGGAGGAGGAGGAGGAGGAGGACGGAGAAGGAGGAAGAATCGGAGGAGGAGGAGGAGGAGGGGAAGGAGCTTCTTGGGGGTCTTTTGAGGGCCTCTTGGAGGGCTTTTTGGGCGCCTTGGGGCATCTTGGGCGCCTCTTGGGACCCTCTTGAGGCGCTCTGGGGAGCCTTCGGGGCGCTTTTGGGGCCATCTTGGAGGGAGTCGATCAAACAAGAGGGGGGGTTTAATTAGCGTCCCCCCTCGGAAGCCCCTAAAATCGCCTCTTGGACCCCTCTTGGAACGCTCTTGGAGTGCTCTTGGGCGCTCTTGGGGCCGTCTTGGGGCTCTTTTGGGGCTCTCTTGGGGCCCTCTTGGGCCATCTTGGAGCCATCTCCAGGCCTCGGATGGCCATCGGAAGCGAAAAGGCGAGAAAGCAAAAATCATTGATTTTCCTTAGGTTTTGGGACGATTTTGGCCTCTTCGGGGCCTCCTTGGGGAGCTGTTTGGCCACTTGGAGTTATCTTGGGGCCGTCTTTGGGCTTCTTGGAACCATCTTAGGAGCCATCGTGAGCGATCTTGCGCTATCTTGAGCCATCTTGGAGCTCATCTTGGGTTCTCTGAGGCGCTCTTGGAGCCGTCTTGGGCCATCTTGGACGCTCTAACTACCCGCGGCCCCCCCCGTCCAGGTCCAGGGGAGGGGGTAGGGGGAGGGGTAAACCCCTCCCCAAGGGGGAAGAGGGAGGGGTGGAAGAGGATCTGCTCTAGACCACCTACGCCCAGAGGGCTGGTGGGATTCTCTGGCACAGCCCCAAAAAGGGGAGGAGGGAGGCCAGGCAGGGCTTCTGCTGCCCGCGGCGCGAGGAGGTCGGGGTCGTTCCGTTTCCCCTCCACGCCTGTCCTTGCTGCCCCTCGCCAGTTAGAGAGCCCGATCAGTCGCCGAAGAAGCGGGGGGCTTTCTGGTCACCAACATACCCGTCGAAGTCACGGAGGCCGAGCTCTATCAGACGTACCTCCACGGGAGGTGCTTCAGCATCGGAGCTGGTATATCCTTGGCCGAAAACTCAGTCAGCTTCGGCCTTCGGCCAAATGTCCTTTTCCGAGGCGGGAATTTATCCGTATCCACCGCCTGGAGGGTCAGTTTTCAGAGCCTCGGCAGGCGGTGGATGTGGACATATTCGGGCCTCCGGGGGCCGAACTATATCCATATCCACCGCCCGCTGGGGCACCAGGACGTCGGTTCCCAGGCGGTGGATATGGATCAATCCCCGCCTCGCACCTTTGACCCAGCTTAACTGGCTGGCTCAGTCCTGGGCCCGATTTGGATCATCTTGGCCCAGGGTCGGCGTCCCCCCCAACATACTTGTACCATGTGTTCGTCGCCCCCCCAGGGGCGACGCGCGCACCGAGAAATCTTCTAGTATGTGCGTCCTGGCGGGCGCTTTCTGGCCACACCGCTCGGGAAACGACGTATACTACAAGATGGGTATACTATATGTTCGGGTCGGACGCGCGCCTCCAAGGCGGACATGTAATATTAGTATGTCTCTGTGCGTCCCACAGGGATCCCCGAGTCGGGCCAGAGCCCAGAGGCGGACGGCCACCACGAGCCTCGGGAGGCGCCGACGGCATGAGGGGCAGCACCCCTTTCGCCCTCTTGCGGTCTCGGTTCTGCGCGCTGCGGCACTGCACATAAGACGCGTGGTGTCCGTGACCGTCGCGTCGACCCTATGTGGGACAGTGCTGCGGTGTCAGTCGGCGTTTTCCACGGGAGTCCAGCCTGGGGCATCGCTGCAGGTGGTCGGCACCAGATTGGTGTTGGCTGCAGGATCGGATGGACGTGGGCTGGGGCTCAGACGTCAAGGCGGGTTCCGTCAGGCCTCGGACATATAGAGTCATTCTCCGATCGCGTCCACAGCCAGGCCCAGCATGGTACCACGAACGTGCGAAGATATTGGTGTAGGCGAGTGGGAACGTCTCGCGGCGTGGGGTTGGGGAAGGGATAACTCATCCCTGAATTTTGGGGAAGTTTTCCAGCAGGGGGCACACGTTTCGTTATACTCGGGGGTGGACAGAACCCCCAACAGTGACACGTCGATTAGTGAATTGTCCGTTTTCGGTTCTCGAGAGGGCGCCATGGCCGTTATTTTCTAGGCTTGCGCCCGCCAGGTTTGGGCCTCAGGTCGTTCTCACTAAACCACGTTTTACTAAAGGGGGGTCTGTCCATCCCCGATATACCACCGCCCAGAGGGCTGGTGGAATTGGAAGATGACCATAGCTCAACCAGCGCCCCAGAACATTGGCTTGCTTCCAGAACTACGCAGACCATTCGCTGGGCCCAGAGGCTTCGGATCTACCATTTGATTGTCGCGGGGCCCGACAAAAGGCCTCCGGAGGCCGAGGGACAGGAAGTACTCCAGATCTCGTAATAAAAGGGAGGGGGTCTGGACCCTCCAAGACAAGCCATTTCAGACCTCCCCCGTGGGAGAACCCTCCAAAACATCGTCCCCAGACCCCCCCAGGCCCTCCAAGATAGCCTGGAAGAGACCCCCCCCCGAAATGAGACCCCCCTCCCTTTATTACGAAATCTGGAGTATCGGTGGGATTGAACAAATCACCCCGCCCGAAGTCCTGGGACGCTCCGGCCGTTGTGGCGGTCCTGGGGTCCGACCGCGTAGAAAGCCTAAGAGGGCGACCTTGAACCCCAGGAGCCGAAGGCGCAGAACCCTCGAACCTGCGGTCGCTGGGGACCGGGCGGGCAGGTGGGGGGTGGCCTAAATGGGGGTTTGAAGAAACGGCCCATGAAGGGGCCCTTGAGGGCCCTTCTCTTCACCTTCCATGTACAGTCGGGGCTCTGAATACGGAACCCTTTTCGTTGGGGAGGGGCTCCGTGTTACTTCAATGTTTCACATCTTGCCCCCCAGGTTATCTTTGGATTTCCGATGGGAAGTCTAAGTTGAACTTCTGGAGAAAAGGGGCCTCGTTCCTCATTTAGGGTTCCTGAGGTCAGCGCCCCGACGGTGTCCCCCCCCCCAACTGCCACCCGCTGGAGGGGACCGCGCCACCCTTGCCAAAAGGGCCGCAGCTTCCCCCCCCGACAAGCGAGGAGGAGGAGGAGGAGGAGGAGGAGGAGGGAGGAGGAGGAGGAGGAGGAGGAGGAGGAGGAGGCAGAGGAGGTGGGGCCTCGGGGGGCTCCTCCTCCTCCTCCTCCTCCTCCTCCTCCTCCTCCTCCTCCTTCCTCTGCCTCCTCCTCCTCCTCCTCCTTCCTCCTCGCTTGCCGCCCTCCTGCTCCCCCTCGTCCCCCGGATCTCGGGCGGGGGGCCCGCCATCGTGCCCTGGGGCCGTCCAGCAGTGGGTCCCCTGCCGGGCCGGACGAGGAGGGTCAGGAGGAAAAGAAACACACAGACACAATGAATCTTCGATTCCCTAGAAAATATGGAAAAATTTGGGAAGTGGGCGGGAAGACAGAAACCCAGAAAGTATGGGAAACTATGGGGAATATTTTCATTTGTGTGTATTTATTTGTGTGTCCTTGGGCCCCTTCAGAGGGCAGGATAGGGAAAGAGGAGGCGGGTAGGAAGTCTGCTGCGCGCAGCTCGCAGCCAGGCCCATTCCTCGATGCACGGGTGCCTCCCGGCGCCAGGAGGCGCCCAGCTACGTGAGCTGATTCTCTACTCCAGATTTCGTAATAAAAGGGAGGGGGTCTCATTTCGGGGGGGGTCTCTTCCAGGCTATCTTGGAGCGCCTGGGGGGGTCTGGGGACGATGTTTTGGAGGGTTCTCCCACGGGGGGGGGTCTGAAATGGCTTGTCTTGGAGGGTCCAGACCCCCTCCCTTTTATTACGAGATCTGGAGTACCCTCCCCCTTGCTATCCTGCCCTGTGGCGCCCCCCTCCCCCGACGACGGGGGCCGGGCTCGGGCCGGGCGCCCAGGGGCTGCCCAGAGGCGATCAGGGGGTGGGGGGGAGAGACTGCGGCCCGATGAGGGCGGCCCGAGGGAGGAGGAGGAGGAGGAGGAGGAGGAGGAGGAGGAGGAGGAGGAGGAGGAGGAGGAGGAGGAGGAGGAGGAGGAGGAGGAGGAGGACGGCAAGCGAGGAGGAGCCCCCCGAGGCCACGCCCCCCTCTGCCTCCTCCTCCTCGCTTGTCGTGGGGAGAAGCTGCGGCCCGAGGAAAGGCGGGCGCGGTCCCCGCACGTCGGCTGGATGTGAAGCAACGCATGTCGTCGGAGGTCTGGGCAGGTCGGCCGTCCGGCTGCGTTCGGCACACCCGGCGGGCACGTCGAGGCCCACGCAGACAGATCACACGACTGAGGGGGCAGGCTTCTCGGGCTGGACTGGCGATCGCAGGCGCACGTGGGGTTCGAGAACGACTTGCGCTCGGCCTTCTTTTTCTGGCGTCGGTTGGCCAAGGTGGCCTGCTGGTCTTCTGATAAGACTCTTCCTAGAAGGCCAGAAGGCCACCTTGGGCAGAGGCCCCCTTTACCTCCGCCACCTCCTCCTCGCCCTCGCCCTTCCGCCCTGCTCTCCGCCTCCTCCTCGCTGGTCGCCCTCCTGCCCCCGAGATCCGACGAATATGAACGCTGCCAGAGAGAACGGCACAAGCCCTGGACCCCATCCTCCTGCGACTTGTCTCGAGCCGCATCGATCTCTGAGGGGCCCAGGACCCGAAACCAGGCTCGGAAACGCCCCGTTCAAAAAAAATGAGACGCCAGGATCTTAGGGCCTGCTTCCTCTCGATGCTGTCGGCTTGCGCATCTCTCGACACTGTCGCCGCGATCGCCCCTGCCCTCCTCGCCCTCCTCTGCCTCCTCCTCGCTTGCCGCCCTCCTCCTCGTCCCTTTGTCTCCTCCTCGCTTGTCGCCCTCCCCCTCCTCGTCCCTCTGCCTCCCCCCTGCTTGCCGCCCTCCTCGTCCCTCTGCCTCCTCCTCGCTTGCCGCCCTCCTCCTCGTCCCTCTGCCTCCCCCTCGCTTGTCGCCCTCCTCCTCCTTCTCCTCGCTTGCCACCGTCCTCCTCGTCCCTCTGCCCCCTCCTCGCTTGTCGCCCCCAGGGCTCCAGCGTTATGGCGTAAACATCGATGTCCGACTCATCGATGTGGAACACTGATTAAGCAGGCGGCTCGTGTGGATCAGGAAGGGCAGAACATGTAAAATCAAGCAGAGATGCCCGAGTGGGCACATATTAACGAAGCCGACCGCTGGGGGAGAGGAGGACAACCAACAAAAACACCTGATATCGAGAGGGGGACGCACCGAGCCAGAGTGGACGACATACGCGTGCAACTAAAGACACACTTAAGCAGTAAAAGGCTTGCCTGCACGTTGTTCAGCAGGTGCTTCCCAGTGGAAGGTCCATCCACTAGAAGTTCTAGGCAGCCAGAGTAGGCAGACGCAGTGGGGTGTCCCACCAGCCCCCCCCCCAGTATCCCGATCTACCTCCCCAACCCACCAAAGTGAAGGCTTGCAGTAACGAAGAAGTGATGCTTGGCAGGTAAAGTAGAACAGCAAGCGCGACGGTACAGAGTGTGGCATAGCAGGATGCAGGCCGGCGCTGTGAATAGGCTGACTTATCGTGATGGAGCATGGGCATGTTGCGTATGGTGTGTGAGCGAGCGTCTGGCGATCAGCGCACAGTAGGGCTGATGCCCCTCCGCTGAAGGCCAACATGGCCGTTGTTGTCAGTCGTGCTCCCTCCCCCACCCATATCCCGTAGAGACCCCCCCCCGTCCCAAGGTCATGAAGGCTGGCGGAAAGGCTAGCTGCTGGTATGATAGCACTTTGCTGCTCTGGCAGTACAGGCTGCCCATGTTAAATGGCCAGGGCATGTGCGAGTGAGTCCTGAAACTTGATCTGGTGGTCCTGGTAGGCTGGCCTAGATGGTACTGGCTGGCCTGATGCAGGCTGTGCAAAACGGTATGGCCTAAAGGTAGAGACTTGTGTGGTATGACTGTTAAGTTGCCAGGGTATGTGCGAGTGACACTTGAAACTTGATCGGATAAGTCCTGGTAGGCTGGCCTAGATGATACTGGCTGGCATGATGTAGACTGTGCGAGACTATGTGTGGCCTGGAGGTGAGCTTGTGGTAGATGAGTCTGGCGCAGTCGGCGCTGGCTGGCCTATGGCCTTGGAGTCAAACTGTCTTGCTCCGTATTCAGATGCAGCTGCATTGGTGGGGCCTCTGCGTGTCGTCCAGGGGGGTCGATAGCTGCTGGGTGCATCTCGCTCCCCCTCTCGCGTCCCGTAGACTCCCCCCCCGCCCCAAGAGCCAGTCAGGCTGGTGAAAGAGGCTGAACAGTAAGCAGGCTGCTGATGTGAACGCGCTTGGCTGTGGCAGGCTGTGATCAAGTGATCTCGCTAGATGATCAAGGCGTGCGCTGGGCTTGAAGCTGTAGTGCCTGGCCTTGTGTAGTTTGCGCAGCAGCCGCCAGCTCCCCCGACGAACCCCATGCAGACCAACCCTGTAATACAGCGTGACCTTGGCCTGTGTGACAGACGTGGAAAAGCACGCAGCACAGTGATGTGCCACGTGCATGCTGCAGTTCTTGGGCTGCTACCCAGGGTTTTGCCTTTTCACCCCTAAAACCTCTTTGGTGCTGACAGCCCCGTGTTTTCGCAACCTATTGCCTTGGCATCGCTCGGACGTGTGCATTTTTCCTTCGGCGAGGACCATCGAGGAGCATCCTTGATCATTTGGCGAAACAGCCACGCACGAAACCGAAACAAACAGGGAATGGACGTCCGAGCGATGCCCAGTTGTTCGGGTTTCAGACGAAAGCTATTGTCCACGTAGGCAGGTGACAAGCAGAACAGCTGATGCACAGAGGTAACAGTGAGAAAGTGCACACTCTGCAAGGGCTTGCCAGCAGGCGCACAGACCGTTTTGTTTGAAGCTCCCATCCGTCCCAGCACCAACAATGGTCACCACCATCCCTGACTGTAGAGTGGACCGAACCAGCAGAAAGCAAGGGAGCAGAGTAAAATAGCGCAGAGTGCAAGCACTTGTGGGCTGATATGAAAGTGGCAGCTCGTCAGTACTCGAAGTTCAGGTGGTAATTGGCAAACAGGTGGTAGCCGTTGTGGTCGATGTGAGGTCGCAGACCAGCCCCAGTATGGCCCAACTGCTGATCGGTATGTCGGGCACTTTGGCATAGGCGTCGGTGGTGCTTTGTGCTCAGGTGTTGGGGAACTTCGGCTTAGGCGTCGGTGGTACCTTAAGCGCTGGTGTCATCTGGTTGCGCTGCTGAGTCTCTTGGAGCTATACGTTTCGTCTGTGTGCCTCCTCCAGGAACTCCTGATATTGCTGCCGGTGGTCGCGAATGGCGGCTAAGCAGGGTCGTAGTTGCGGGTCGTTGGCGTCGTCAACATGCTGCGTCTCAACGAAGCCGTCGTATGCCGGTATGGGTGTAGAGCCAGTCTGTCCGTCTAGCTTGGCAGGTGGAGCCTTCGGTAGGAACTCGGCTTTGACAGTCGCTCGCATCAGTGGTGCGCGTGGGTCTGGTGGAGTGTCAACCAGCCGTCGTTGCTCGGCTGCTGCTCTCAGTGGTGGGCAGATCACAAGGACCTCGAGGCACGGAGGTGGGCGGATGGCCCTGTAGCTCATAGAAGTGGTTTGTGGTGTCGGTGTCAACGTCTCAACTGTACGCTGGTGAATCGGATGTGTACTTGCCGGTTGAGTCGCCTCCTCCTCCTCCTCCTCATCCTCCTCCTCCCTCTGCTTCCTCCTCGCTTGTCGCCCTTCCTTTCCTCGTCCCTCTGCCTCCTCTTCGCTTGTCGCCCTCCTTCTCCCCCTCCCCCTGCCTCCTCCTCGCTTGCCGCCCTGCTCCTCCTCCTCCTACTCCTCCTGCTCCCTCCTCCTCCTCCTCCTCCTGCTCCTGCTCCTCCTCCTCTCCTCCTCCTCCTCCTCCTCCTCCTCCTCCTCCTCCTCCTCCTCCTCCTCCTCCTCCTCCCCCCCTGCCTCCTCGCTTGCCGCCCTCCTCCCCCTGCCTCCGCCTCCTCCTCGCCTGCCCCCCTGGGCCGAGGTGACCGGCGTTGCGCTGCCGCTGCCGGCCCTCGCCGCCACGCAGGGGCCGCCCGAGGCGCGGGCGCTCGCGGCGCCCGCGGCCGCGGCGGAGGACGCCGCCGCTGTCGATCGTCGAGCACTGGTCGTCGGGCGTCGATCGTCGAGCCGTCGACCGGTTCGTCGATCCTCCTCCTCCTCCTCCTGCTCCTGCTCCTCTTCCTCCTCCTCCTCCTCCTCCTCCTCCTCCGCCTCCTCCTCGATCGTCGAGCGTCGAGCGGTGGCCGTCGGGAGGAGGGCGGGGAGCCGCGCCGGTTTTGGAGACCTCCGAGGGGCGGTGGGTAGGCGCCAGCGGCTGCACGGCCCCCGGTTTTGCTCCCACCGAGAGGCGCTCGTGGCGCGGGGGGCAGAGCTGAGGCCGTCGCGGAGGTCCGCCTCCGCTTCGGTCGGTGGGCCGCCGAGTTCGAGAAGGGGCTCTGCTCGACGCCCCTCGGGTTGCCCAAGAGGGTAGGGCTCAGTTCTCGAGCGAGGCCCTCGGGTTCAGCGCAGTGTGGGCCGCGGTGAGGTTGTCTCCTGGTCGTGCGCTCGTGAGGCATGGTCAGTCTTGGTGGCGGGGGGCGTTCGCCGCAGCCCTGTTTCGGTTCTCGGCCTTGCGGGGCCATGGGGGAGACCCCGGCCGGTGTTTGTCGCGTCGGAACACAGTTTCTAAGCCGGCCATGGCTGCGCTGGGCCCCGGGACCTCTAGGCTTGGAGAGCTAGAGGCGGAGGCGCAAGAGCTCCTCGGGGTCCTCATTCAGCCTCGAAAGATGGCTGATGTGGTTTGGCCCAGTTTGCGCCAAAGTTTTCACTTGTTGACGTCCAGGCCGCGTATGAAGGGTTAACTTAAAGTAGAGGCGGTTTTGGCATGTGGGTCGAGGATCTGTGGGGGGGCGAGCCCTTTCTGTTCTGTGCTCATGTTCGCTTGGCCCCCCCTCCACCAACCGAACTCATCGCGCAGGGTCAAGCGGCTTTCGATCCGTCCAATGTCCTGTATGCCATGCGTGAGGGCTGGCAGAAGATCTGAACTGGCCCAGTAGACAGTAGGGGTGGACCTAAACGGTGTTTGGGCGATTTCGTGGGCCGTTTTCGTTTCGATATCGTTTTGCGTTAGATGCGGATTGAAGACAAAACGAGGGAAAGCGAAAACAAAACGAAAACGACAACACCGTTTGGGCTCAGCCCTGGTAGACAGTGTGGAAGGCAGCAGTTGTGCCATCAGGTCCGTCCTGTACAGGGCTTCCGGAGGATCCGTCACCGCCTGTCCTCGGCCGCATCCAGTATGTTTCTCTTCCTTGTCTTGCAGCGAGCTCATGGGGCCCGCTCTCCCAAGGAAGGGGCAGGTGCGTGGTCTTTCATGGGCGACGCTGTAGCGCGCCGTGAGGGGCATGCCTCCTTCGTCGAGCCGACGTTCAGGGCGGTTTGCGAGCCCCTGGTCGGAGGGCCCCGAGAGTCGAGGTTGACCGTGTCGGAGAAGGCCACCCTGCCATGCACCTCCCGGAGTTTGGCCCCCCAGTCTAGGTACGGTAGGTTTGCGTCGTGTCGACCAGCGGCGACCCCAGCGCGGGCGTTCAAGGTTGAACGCCGCCGGCGACCCAGAATCGATCGATGTTGAACGATCGGACGTTGCGGCAGCGGCCGATCGTTCAAGGTTGAACGATCCCTGCGGTGTCAAAAACCAACGCTGGGGTCGGCACGACACGAACCTGCCGTAGTTTTTTGGAGCGGGAGGTTGTTCCGCTTCGGCGTGTGGCCAGAGCAGTCGACCTGGGCGTCGACGCGGCGGTCGGTAAATGCAGGGCGGCCGCCAAGTCTTAGGGAGGGGCCAATGCGGGCTTCCAGACGATTTGCTACGATTCGTGAGGTGAGGGGCACTGCTCGACGAGGCAACGCCACGCAGAGAGTTTGTTGTCCGTGGAGCGCCCTGCCGCAGGCGTGCTACTTGCATGCGCAGGCAAGCGGCGCGAAGGATTGGGGGGGGGAAAGGGAGCTGAAGTTCATGGGTCGAATGCCCCCCCTTCCCCCCCTGCGTTTCTCGGGAGTGGACAGAACCCCCAACAGTGACACGTCGATTAGTGAATTGTCCGTTTTCGGGTCTCGAGACTGCGCCGTGGCCGTTGTTTTCCAGGCTTGCGCCCGCCAGGTTTGGGCCGCAGGTCGTTTTCACTAAATCACGTTTTACTAAAGGGGGGTCTGTCCATCCCCGAGTTTTTGCGGAGTCATGTTTCTGTTGGTGGCGGCGGTTTCGCGTTCTGGTGGTGGATCGTGGATGTCATTATCGTGGCTGCGTTTTTTTCGGCCCCTTCCGACTCCTCCCCCTGCCCTGCGCGTTCCCGCTTTCTTGTAAGTCCATGGCTAGAGTGTTCATCATATTATTACAACAGTACTCGTGCACTACAACTATTACTATAGTGGAGTACTACCACTGCTATATTATACTACTGCTACATTGCTACCTGTGCAGACCTACAGCGCTTCAGTACTCTTTTAGTGTTGGAGCACTACTACCACAGGCAGCTCTAGAACACTATTATTCATATTCCACTCCCACAGTGCTGGTAACTCGATCGAGTACAGGCAGTACTGCTTCTCTTGTTCTTCTTCTTTTTCTACGACTACTGCTACTACTACTACTACGACCACCACCACTACTACTGTTACTACTAGTGCTATTTGTACTACTACTATTTCCACTACTGCTACTACTAGTTCTAGCAGTACTAGTGCTATTACTACTACTACTACTACTACTACTACTACTACTACTACTACTACCTCTACTTCTGCTGCTGCTGCTGCTAGTACTCTACTACTCTTCTCCTGCGACTCCTACAACTACTACTCCTACTATTACTACTACTACTACTACTAGTAGTAGTAGTAGTAGTAGTAGTACCACTACTATGACTGCGATTACTACTACTACTACTACTACTACTGCTACTACTACTACTACTACTACTACTACTACTACTACTGCTACTGCCACTAGTACTAGTACTAGTACTAGTACTGCTACTACTACGACTACTACTACTACTACTACTACTACTACTACTACGACGACTACTGCTACTACTACCGCTACTACTACACTACTGCTACTGCTGCTACTACTACTACTACTATTACTGCTGCGACTACTACCACTACTAGGACTGTTACTGCTCCTACTCCTTTTCCTCTTCCTCCTCTTATTACTACTACTACTATTACACGTACTACTCCTCCTCCTTCTCCTACTACTACTACCACCACGACTACGACGACTACTACTACTACTACTACTACTACTACTACTACTACTACTACCACCACTACTACTACTACTACTACTACTACTACTACTACTACTACTACTACTACGACTACTACTACTACTACTACTACGTACTACTACTACGTACTACCACTACTACCACTACTACCACTACTACCACTACTACCACTACTACCACTACTACCACTGCTACCACTATTACCACTGCGACCACTAGTACCACTACTACCACTAACATTTTTTGGTATTACTACTGCACTAGTTTGTTCTACATTAACAGGGTAATCCAGTGCCGTTGCAATAGCCAGTATTCGGGAGGGACCACTACATCTCCAAGTCGAGAAAAAGGGGTCCGAGCACGTCTGCGTCTTGTGCTGGCGGCCCGGGGCCTGGGGTAGCCCCTTGTTTCCCCGTCACATGCGCTTCAGCAAATCTTCGGGGATAGCTCCTCCTTCCCCATGCCCATTTTTCCTTCCCTTGCCGCCTCTGTCCTTCGATCGCGCGCCCCGCCCGCACCACGGCGGATGTCCTCCCCGGGCTCGGAGCGCTCCGTACTGCGCTCCGCACTCGGAGCGCCCTTTCCCCCGCCGTCTTCGTCCTCGATGGTGCTGGTCGTCGCCGCCGCCGCCGTCGCCGCCGAGGACACCGCCCGGGCGGGCCTCGGCGCGCGCGCGGGGGAGCCGCCTGCTGCCGTGCAGCCGCCCGCGGCGGCGGCAGGACGCTGCGACGACGGCGAGGGTGGGGACGGCGAGGGCGGCGACGGCGAGGGCGACGGCGGGGGCGACGGCGCGGGCGAGGACGAGGGCGACGACTTCGGCAGCGGCGGCGGCGGCGGGTGCGGCGGCGACGATGACGACGGGGAGGAAGCAGGGAACAGGGGGCGAGGAGGGGTGGCAGGAGGGCGGGGGAGGTGGAGGAGGGGGGGGATGAGGCAGGAAGAAGAGAGAGAAGGGGAATGGGGAGGTGGAAAGAGGACATGGAGAGGCGCAGGAGGGATATGGATCAGATACAGGAAGAGGGGTGGATAGGAGGGCGGCGGGAGGAGGAGGAGGAGATCATAGAGAACGGACGGCGGAACTCGGCATGAACGACGGCGGTCCGGAAAGAATGGGTACGGTGCCCACTTTGAGCGAGACTCGCCGTCCGCGCGCCGCGGGTCTCGTCCATTTGCAGCAAGTGGCCGCCTGCCCCAGAGCGGCCGCTGCCGATTTTGGACCATATTTGTTGTTGGGCATCGTGCCCATGTGTTCCGTACCCATTTCCGGCGCCCAACGGAGAAGGAGGAGGTGGGAGGGATGGGGGGGGGACATTGAGGGACCCATACGTCAAGGGAAAGAGGCAGGGATGGATGGATAGACGAGAAAGGAGAATGATTGACATTGGGCCCTTAGGACCCCCCAAGGAATTCCTGGTCCGTTTTATCCCCTCCAGGACACTCTGGAGCTCGGTATCATCTCCTGAAGCCCCCCAGGCAGTTAAAGGCCCCCAGGACCCCCTGGATCTTTCACGCCCTTCGATGCCCTGGACCCGTCAAACATTTGTGCCTGGACCCTTCAGGACCACTCAAAGCCCTTTCCTCCTTTCTCTTCCTTCTCCTCGTCTTCCTTCCTCTTCCTCTTCCTCTTCCTCTTCCTTCTCTTCCTCTTCCTTCCTCCTCCTCTTCCTCCCTCTTCCTTCCCTTCCTCCTCCTCCTCCTCCTCTTCTTTCCCTTCGCCTTGTAGACTTCAGCCAGGGTGGGCCCCTGGCGGAGTGTTTCAACCAGTATGTGTTATGCAAGCTCGGTGGAGCAAGCTATGTGTTGCAATGTACGTGGTGCAAAGTACGTTGTGCAGTCAGCGTGGTGTAATACATATATATATGTATGTATGTATGTATGTATGTATGTATGTATGTATGTATTTATGTATGTATGTATGTATGTATGTATGTATGTATGTATGTAATGTAATGTAATGTAATGTAATGTAATGTAATGTAATGTAATGTAATGTAATGTAATGTAATGTAATGTAATGTAATGTATGTATGTATGTATGTATGTATGTATGTATGTATGTATGTATGTATGTATGCATGCATGCATGTATGTATGTATGTATGTATGTATGTATGTATGTATGTATGTATGTTTGTATACATATATATATATATATATATAAACATATACATGCATATACCCGGGGTCCAGGCCAGGGGTCCCTCAGGGCAAACACTGAATCCACGCCGGTGGCACGGATTTCCTGGCCTTCGAAGACGGGCCAGGAGGCTCCCCCAAACCCGCACGATGGTCCAGCAAGGATCCGACAGGGATCATAATCACCGATAATCGTTCCAAGACGCACATATTGGCCCCACGACGCGCCAAGAGACCGCCCAAGACTCTTCCAAAAGCCCTCCAGAAAGCGGCCCGACAGGCCAAACTCATTGTGTTTCATTGTTTTTCTAGGTTTTTGGCATTGTCGCGTTTTCGGGCTCCCGACGAAGTACAACGGACCAAGAGGCCCCCAAGACCCCCCCAAGACGGCCCAGGAGGCCCCCAAGAGAGCCACAAGACTGCCCAAAAGGGCCACAAGGCGGCCCAAGAGGGCCTCAAGATAGCCCAAGAAAGCTCCAAGATGGCCCCGAGAGAGGCTCGGCCCAAGAGGGGGCACGCGAACCAACAATTCGAGCTTTCCACCCCAATGGGCCCCCAGGAGGCTCCAGGAGGCCCCAGGAGGCCCCCGAGGGGGCCCCAGAAGGCTCCCAAGACGCCCCAGAAGGGCTTCGAAACGGCGTCCCCAGGCCGCGATGTAGCCCTGGCGAACAAGTTTCGGGCCCCAAACCGTCACCAGGAGAAGGGGGTGGTGGAAAGAAGGATATTGAAACAGGATCGAATGGGAGCGGTCACGTACTGTGCCTGCGCACGCCCACACACGGACGAACATGAGAGGGAGGCGGAGAGACCAAAGGCAGGGGTGATGCAGGAACAAAGGAACACGAGGGAGAGTGACTACTGAGGGGCAAGGAGACCAGAATGTGGACGAAGGCTCAGAAAATAACAAAATGCAGGAGAAGGCAACGATAAGCAAGCTGGGAACGATAGCCACGGCATATTGAGTGGAGCTACCTAGAAGCAGAGTGCGCGCGGAGAGCGTGCGCGCGAATGCTTCTAGCACATATGTATAGGTATATGAATAGGTATATGTTTATGGCGATGTATATGTATATGTGTATATAAATGTACATGTATATATATGTGTACATGTATATGTATGTGTACGTACATGTGCATATACATGTAATTGTACATGCATATATATATATATATATATATATGTATACGTAACTGTATTTGTATGCGTGTATGCATATTTATATGTACATATATATGTTTGTATAACATGCAGTTGTACGCGTATATGCATACATATATATATATATATTTACACATGCTTACATATGTACGCACCTGTATTTTACACATATATTTGGTATGCACATGTATGTGTGTATATACATGGGTATGTATATGTATAGGTATATGTGTATGTATGCGTATATGTATATGTCTATATGTATATACATGTATTTGCATTTGTCTTTATATATAGGTACATGTATATATATACGTATTTGTATATGTATATGTATGTGTGTATGTATATGCATGTGTTTTATATATATATAGCTGCGTATGCATATGTATATGTATTTTTATATATATATATATGTATATTGTACATAATATGTATGCATATGTTTATGCATTTGTATATGTTTATGTATACGTATATGTTTATACACATGTATGTCGGCGGTGCGCCGTGGCACGAACCCCCCCCCAGCACTACCGGGGGGTTTCGTGCACTACCGGGGGGTTTCGTGCAGCCCGCACCGGGTGCCGCCAGCGGCTTAGAACACCCCCTCCTTGCCGCTTTACCGGGGGGTTCGTGCAGGCCGCATTGGGTCCTCCCCTGTCGCTTTACCGGGGGGGTTCGTGCAGGCCGCACTGCGTCTACCTGGGCTCCCCCCCCCCCCCTGTGGGAGTGGGGGGGTGGGAGTGGGGGGTGGGTTGGGAGGGGGGGGGGCAGGGGGGCGGTTGGGAAGGGTGGCTCCCTGTCGAAGTGTGGCGTGTGCTCGCCTTGTGTTCTCTATTCGCGTCTGCTCGCCTTTGTTCCGCCGCAGCCTCTCGTATTGTGGCTCGTGGCCACAATACGAGAGGCTGCGGCGCAACTCCCGAGAGCCGCTGTGGGGGGTCGACGGCACGGCCGCGTAGAGAAGAACAGTGCCGCCGTGTCCTGGCACGGCCCTGGGATGCAATGCCGCCGCCGTGTTCCGGCCCGTCCTGGTAAGATTCGCGCGTCGGGGCTGGGGTTCGCGCCGCTTACGGAGGGGTTGCGTCCTTACCGGGGGGTGTCGTGCAGCCTACCAGAGGAGGTCGTGTTTTATGGGGGGTTTCGTGCAGGCTCGCACCGGGAATGGCGCCAGCTCGAAACCCCCCAGGAGAGATTACCGGGGGGGGTGTTTCGCTCCGCACCGGGCACCGCCAACATGTATATGTATACGTGCATGCACATGATCATGTACACGTATATGTATATGCCTATGCATATGTTTATGTACATGTATATGTATAATTATATATGTATGTATTTATATGCATGTATATGTGAACATCTATGTACGTGTACACACGCACATATATATATATATATATATATATATATATATATATATTTATGTATAAACTTACGTATCAATCGGCATACACACATATATACGCACACACACACACATATATATATATGGTAGCCATCACATGATCATACATGCTCCTCCTCATCCTCGCTCGCTTCTTCTCCGTCTTCTCCGTCTATCTCTTTCTCTCTCGCTCTCTCTCTCTCTCTCTCTCTCTCCCCCCCACTCTCTCTTACTGGCCTTCAAAGAACGCTGTGTTTCCAGCTTTTCCAGCTTTTCCATCATTTTCCGAAGACATTCTTTAAACACGCCGTGTTTTCCAGGTTTCCAAGTTTTCCCAGACACTGTCCGTTGAAAGACGCTGTGTCTTCTAGGTTTTTCAGAGTTATCAAGTTTTTCCACGTACTGACAGTTGAAACATATGTCTTTTCCAGGTATTCCAGATTCCCAGGTTTTCCTAGACACTGACCGTTGAAACACGCTGTGTTTTACAGGGTTTTCCATGTTTTTCCAGGCACTCAGCGTGTTTCAACGGTCAGTGTTTGGGAAAATATAGACAAGCGGGAAAACATAGAAAACGTAACGTTTTTCAGCGGCCAGTGTCTGGAAAAACATGGAAAATTTGGAAAACCTGGGAAACACATTATTTTCAACGGTCAGTGTCTGGGACAATCTGAAAAATCAGGAGAACCGGGAAAACACAGTTTTTCAACGGACAGTGTCTGGAAAACATGGGCAAATTGGAAAACATAGAACGCCCAGCGTTTTTTCAATACCACCCTCCCCACCGATCCCCTCCTTTTCCTTCTCTCTCTCTTTATGTTTTTCCTCTCTCTCTCTCTCTGCGGCCGCTGCCGCGACTGCCGCGTGCTCCCTTATTTGCTCATCGGGAGACGTCGTGCGCACGCAGGCCAGGTAACCCCAGCGGGGCAGCATTGGCCGCTTGCTACCCCGCCTGTTGCTGAATGGCGCCCCTCTCAGCGGCCTCCAGCCGCAATCGCAAGCGCCGTATATACATCACAACCCTCGGAGCGCCAGCCATCACAGGCGCTCTCACGCTGGCGCGCCAGCGCCCGAACTCGCAGCCGCGGCGCCCGTCGCCCCGCCCTCGTCGAGCACTTGCGAGAGCTCCTCCTCGAGGGTAATGCGCTTCTTCTTCGGCGTCGGCGTTCTCAAGTCAATGGCGCCGCAATCCTGGTGCTTCTTGAGGCGGAAGCGGAACCCCCCTGGCTCCCCCTTGATCGGCACGGCAGGCGCAGGGGGCGCGGCGTCGACGGCCACGTCGGAGGGGCCGTCGTCGCCGTCCACCCCGCCGCCGAAGCCAAAGACCCAGCAGGGCATAGCAGAGCGCGGTGCCCTTTTTTCTTCCACGCGCCGTGGCGCCGCTTGTTTCAGGACGAACCCCAAATAGATCTCAACCTGGATTTAGAATGTTCCGGGAATATTGGCCAGGGTTCATAAGGTCTCCCCCCGGAACATTACGAACTTGGGTTTACATGTTCTGGGAATATTGACTGGGGTTCATAATGTTCTCCCCGGAACATTATACGCCTCGGTTTATAGTTTTCTGGGGATATTGACACTAAAAACATTAACCTGGGTTTATAATGTTCCGGGATTCTTAACTCCGGTTCACAATGTCCCGGGAATCATTGATCCGGTTTTTGTAATTGTGGAATGGTAATAATTAGTATTTTCTCCCCAACCCGGGTTCCTCACCAGGTCTTTCATGTCGGAATATTGATCCTGGTTCATTATCTCCAGAAGATAATATACTTGGGCTGCTAATGCTCCGGACTTATTGACCCCAGGTTCATTATTCTGGAGTGATATTGATTCACCCTGGGGGGTGCCGTTGGAGAGTAATGAAACCCTGGTTCGTAATGTTGGGATGATAATCTTTGGTTGATTATTCCAGAAAGAGAATGATTCAGCCGGGAAGCTCAGCTTGATCCATGCGCAGG